AAAAAAAATACCTGCACAGCAGCAATTGTGATGGAAAGTTTAATTTTATTGCATTTAGACTTATTTATTTAAATTTGTCATGGTAAAAATCACAAAGGAGAGAAATGGATGCTCTACAACAGAGCACCATATGAAAGATGGTGCTCTGTGTGATGCACGGAGGAAAAAAATCTTGAGATTGCAAATCAATACCTGTTTTCTTTTGTCATCTGTCAGTTTGGAGATGTTGTACCTGGGTGGAAACCTTATTTCAGCCATTCCTCCTGAAGTAGCGAATCTGCCCTACCTCACCTACTTGGTCCTGTGTGACAACCGCATCCAAAGTGTCCCACCGCAGCTCACCAGGTAATATCAGCACTCGCCAACTATCCTAGCAATCGCCACACACCAGTCTACCTACAGCTTGACTATATGGTCTCCTCAGAGATGCTATCTGAGTTAGAACTGTAATTTATCCTGCATTGATCTGATAGCTGAACTTTCAAGTAGTCATGATTTTTATCAAAGTGCAAACAAAACTGACAGAGTGCTTATGCATCCGATTCTAGGCTCCACTCTCTGCGATCTTTAAGCCTACACAACAACTTGCTCACTTACCTGCCGAGAGAGATCCTGAGCCTGGTGCACCTGCAGGAGCTCAGTCTTAGAGGCAACCCGCTGGTTGTGCGCTTTGTCAAGGAGATGACCTACGATCCACCCTCATTGCTAGAGCTGGCAGGGCGCACCGTTAAGAGTCGAAATCTTCTGTACTCCCCTTTTGACCTGCCTGCAAACCTGGTGCGTTATCTGGACTTGGCCAGCAAGTGTCCCAACCCCAAGTGTGCCGGTGAGTTGTGCCTAATGATTACATGCCATGTCACCAGTTTCAGTGAACAATAGGTGGGTGAGGCTGCTGTGCTCCAAGCCGGAGCTGTGTGCCTCAGATAATCAGATTGAGGATATCCTCTCTTTGATATACAGATTTAAATGTAGCAAAAGAAATCTCACATGGATTAATTGTACATATGGTGACCTCCTTATTTGAAACTTATTTTATGAGCATCTATCCATTGTATCAGTATATATGACAGGATAAGGATAAGCGTCATAGCTCCTTTAATTTTATCTTGTGACCTTCCTATGGAAATTCCATATCCCAGTTTGGGAGCCACAGTTATGTCACCATGCTCACCACACTTGTGAGCTGCTCACTACAACTGTTGTTCCTCATATTGTATATTATCCATCCATTTTCTTCTGCTTATGTGGGGCTGGGTCACGGGGGCAGCAGCCCAAGCAGAGAAGCCCAGACCTCCCTCTCCCCAGCCACCACCTCCAGCTTATCCGGGGGAACACAAAGGCGTTCCCAGGCCAGCCGAGAGAGAGAATCTCTCCAGCGTGCCCTGGGTCTGCCCCGGGGCCTCCTCCCAGTGGGACATGCCCGTAAAACCGCGCCCAGGGGGCATCCTTGTCAGATGCCCGAACCACTTCAACTGGCTCCTTTCGATGTGGAGGAGCAGCGGCTCTACTCTGAGCCCTTTCCGAATGGCCGAACTTCTCACCCTATCTCTAAGGGACAGGCCAGCCACCCTTCGGAGGAAGCTCATTTCCGCCGCTTGTATTTGCGATCTCGTTCTTTCGGTCACTACCCACAGCTCGTGGCCATAGGTGAGGGTAGGGACGTAGATCGACCGGTAAATTGAGAGCTTCGCTTTTACACTCAGCTCCTCTCTTCACCAATCCGTCTGTCGTTATCTGCTCCCTTCTCCCATCACTCGTGAACAAGATCCCGAGATACTTAAACTCCTCCACTTGGGGCAGGAACTTGTCCCTGACCCAGAGTAGGCACTCCACCCTTTTCCGGCTGTGGACTATGGCCTCAGATTTGGAGGTGCTGATTCTCATTCCCACCGCTTCACACTCGGCTGCGAACCGTTCCAAGGCGAGCTGGAGGCCATCACCTGATGAAGCCAACAGAACCACATCATCTGCAAAAAGCAGAGATGAGATCCTGAGACTCACCAAAGTGAAAGCCTTCCGCCACTTGGCTACGCCTAGAAATTCTGTCCATAAAAATTATGAACAGAATCGGTGACAAAGGGCAGCCCTGGCAGAGCCCATCACCCACCGAGGATGGGGTGTGTGTGTGTGTGTGTGTGTGTGTGTGTGTGTGTGTGTGTGTGTGAGAAGAACACAAGTTACTGTTACTTAAGCCTGACTGTGCATTTCCTGTCACTCTTCTTGTTCCAGGTGTGTACTTTGATTCGTGCGTGCGCCAGATCAAATTTGTAGACTTCTGTGGAAAGTACCGGCTACCCCTCATGCACTACCTGTGCTCCCCTGAGTGCACCTCTCCCTGTAGCTCCAACCAGCAGAGCGACGCAGAGTCTGAGGAAGAGAACAGTGTGCCTGCTGACCGCCTTCAGAGAGTGCTCCTGGGATAATACGACATACGACCAAGAGGAACATCTGATCCTGTCCAGACAAATCCTTGACAGTTTGCCATTGTTTTTATAAACTAACAAGGACCCTGATTAAGACTTTATTGGACGTATTAGTGCTCATACACATTTTTATTCCCCCCCCGCCCCCCCCCCCGCGCTTCAGCCACTGAAACGCACAAAAAAAGTGAGACAACTTACCTTTTCTTTGAACTAATGTGAAATCTATTCTATGAATGTTTTCGGTTGTTTTTTTTTCTTCTTTTTTAAATCTTTTTTTTTCTTCTTTTGTTTCATGAAGCGTGTTGTCTCACCATACATCAGTCTATCTAGAGCACATGAAGGAAGGTCCTTCCACACCTGCTTGCCTCATGGTTGAGCACAGGAGGGCAGTAAAACTCTTGACTGAAGGAGTGAAAGGATTCTTTTGTTTTCAGAGCAACATGTTTAGTTGTAATTACAACATTTCATTCTGTGCAGATGCTACAGTGTATTAGTCTGCATTTTCACTCTGAGTATGAGCTCTTTGTCAGCCTTCATCTGACTTTATTTGACCATCAAGCCTGATGTGCCAACCAAGAAAAAGTCAGTGTTTTTTATAGTATGTGAGCAGGAACTTTGAACACTGTTTCAAACTGCGGTACTATAAATATTTTTTGTGGTTTGAGATGGGCTTATGCGCACTTTGCTGTGGCCAGTCCCCCACAATACTAAAGGACCAGTATGTAGGATTTTGATGGGGAGGGTTCACTTTCAGTCATGTGATCAACTCTGGAGGACCAAAAGAAAATTAAACATTGCTGGCCAAAGCTAGATATGCCACATAACTGAGGAAAAGTGCACACCTGTCAATTTTCCAGCTATTTCAAACCACATGTTTAGATCACCCAAATATGAAAAGCAAAGATTTGTGAACCATAAGTTAGATATGTGGCTGTCTAGTCAGCATACTCAATGACAAGGGAGAACTAAACTGTGGTCAAGTTTAAACCATTGTGTGTCATTTCAAATAAATCATCACTGACAACCTGGGTATCTGTGAAGGAGATGACTGAGGACCGAGTCCTCACAGATGGAAAGTAACTGTTAACTATGCCAATAGAATATGTCTTTGCTTTTGAAAGACTGGGGTGTGTCATAGACAATGGTTCACATGGAGTCCTGCACTCTGCGCTTTGTTAGCAGTTGTGAAACAGTTGAGTGTCTGATTATGGGTTGTAATGGCTGTGCAGCATTTTGGCTAAACACAAACCAGATGAACAAAACCTGGTTTTGGCTTTCAACACAGGAGCGGGTCCTCATCCACCAAGCTCCAGTGTTTCTACTTTAGCCCAGAAGAGATGAGCCAAACATTGTCTCTACAGAGGACCTTTCATTAGCAGCCGCTCCAGGTTCCTCAGAGGTGTTGACTTGGTTGTCATGTTGCTAGATCCCACTTAATCCTGCATACTGCCTTCCGAATAGCAAGGTGGCGATCTTTTATCAGTGCTTTTGTCTCAACTGCATGCCACCTTTGGGGGGGAAGGCTGCGATGGCTTAGTAGTTTTAAATTAACTCATAGTGGTTATGTGGAAGAATGCTTATCCAGGCTGACTCACAGGAAGTGGATGTGGGTTGGGCCAGGGAAAACCATTCACTGTGTTCGCACAAAAACAATAGCTATTGAGCGCAACTCAGTACCAGCCTTTGTGTTTATGTTCAGGGCTGTTAGTTTTCTGTGGGCATAAACATATGAAGATGTATCTGAATAAAACCCACAGTCAGTGATATATGTATGGTTACATATCTGCTGCAACTTTCTGCTTGTGTGGAAAGCTGGGTCATTTTATAATGTCCCAGATAGTTTGCGTCCATTAGTCAGGAGAAGAAATCCAATTTGGCTTCACATTAGACCTTAATGTTAAGAAAACAGAAGAACGTTCTTCTATGTTACAGAAGTTACAGTAGTTACAATTCCTAAGTGCCTTACTAATCAAGACTTCTAACAGCAAAGCAAGTATGAAGAAACTGATATATGCACCCTGAAATGTGAATAATTTAGCTTTATAAAAGTCACTTATCTGATTTCCATACTCATCTGTTTAACAGCAAATATACAAAATAACCCTTTAAAACAAAATGGATTTATATAAATGTATAAATCCATTTTTAAAAAAATGTTAAAGTGCTACATTTGTAACAAGCTTTGGAATAGACAATGCTTTAACCTCAGATATTGTAAGTAGATGTACAGTAAATAATGACATTAATAAAGACTGATTGTTATATCTTTAAATTGTGTTTGTATTGTGATCTTTTCTGATTGAATTAAAGCAAATGGGAGCAACAACTGGGAGGAATTCTTCAGTTGCTTTAAGTTGCATTTATGTTGTTATACGATTTAAATACAGAGGCTGCTTTTTAAATATCTGGTATCTGTAATATGCATGTGTGCAAATGATTCGCACAACTATTAGCTGCAACTGTAACTAACGTCAATTTAAAAAGTTACATGTTCACCGTTTTAGTCCTGAAAAGGACTGAATTGCATTCCTTTTACATAATTTTTTTTTGTATGTGTTGGTCTGAGCAGCAGAATCTCCTCAGATCCACACAGCCTGTGATTACAACTACATTGATTGCTGTTTAACCCTAATAGAATCAGAGTACTTTTTAATGCTGGTTTAAAAAAAAAAAAACAATATATCCTTACTTTATTAGGTAAACCTTATCAATATTGGATTGGATTACCTTTTGTTTTCAGAACTGCCTCATTCTTCGTGGCCTATTCTCAACAAGGCACTGGAAACTGTTTCTGTAGATTTATTGACTGAAATTTCCTCCAAAACCAATCTTGATTTGAGCTTTGTGATATGGTGCTCTATCCTGCTGGGAGTGGCCATCAGAAGATAAGTACACTGCGATCATAAAGAAATTAATTTGGGATGGATCAATGCTTTCATGTTATTTACACCAAGTTCTGAACAAGCATGAGAATATTGCAAACGAAATCAAGACTCATTAAATATAATATTTTTCTAATCTTGTATTGTCAAGTTTTAGTAAGCCTGTGCAAGTTGTAGCCTCTGTTTTCTGATCTTAGCCAACCTGTTGCGGTCTGCGGCTGTACTCCATCTGCTTTAATGTTTGATATTCAACCACTCATTGCATTAGTTGCAATAAGTCTGTTGCCTTCCAAAGAGCTTGAAGCAGTCGAGCTCTGTCATAAACAAGGTATTTTTCCCCAGAGAACTGCTGCTTACTGGGTATTTCTCTCTTTTTTTGGACCATTCTCTGTAGAGATGTCTGTGGAGGAAAATCCCAGGACACCAACAGTTTCTATGCAGTTTCTGGCACCAATAACCATGGCAAAGGCAAAGTCCCTTAAATCTCCTTTCTTCCCTCATGCTGAAGCTCAGTTTGACTGGTCATGTTGAATTGTCTACACTTGCAATGAGCATGTGTACTTATTAAAGTGATCACAGATGAAAAGTAACACTCAGTTCTTCTGATCAGTTACTTGCAGATATTTCCTAATACTGGCCACATGCCTAAATTAAATAAGAACAGGGTTGGATTGGCTTTAGTAGAATCACTGGTTGCTGCTATTATCTGACTAGTAGTAGTGAAACCAAGAAGCTGCATTGTTTTTTATGTTGCACCAAATGCTGTACAGGCACCTCACAGCACCTGTTCATGCTCATGCTGTTTTTTAGTTGCAAACTGAACTTGTTTGGGTCAGCGTTCACAGAAATACTCTTTTTAAAATGTGTTCATGCGCAACACTGACTCCTAAAGACTTTGTGTGTGTTGTTTGCACGAACCGTTCCATTTTGTAGCTTGAATATGTCCAGGTTTCATTTGCATATGAAGGTGAGTTCATTCTTGCATTTGAATACCGAGAGCCCTTTTCTGATACAGCTAGTGAATTCTGCCTCTCACAATCTGCAAATCCTTTAACATCAGCAGCCAAAGGCAGCTAAACTACTAGTTTGTTTTCCTTTCTCTCGCCTCTTTTCACAGTTTCTGTTCGTACCTCGGCATCTAATTCCACTTCTTTTCACCTCACTGTTTCATTAAGCCTGGTTGGCAAAGAGGGTTGCACATATTTTGTTTGTTTTCAATGGTCTTTGAGCAAGTCACAGCTGGGTTCCCGTGTTTTTGCAGCGTGTCTCTTGTCCCTCATTTCTGCTCTCAGCACTTGCACATGAACCCTTCTACCAACAGCAAACACCAAGGAAACACTCTGGCATCACTGTGCTGAGTTACATCTATGGTTTGCATGCACACAGTGGTATACCTTGTCTGTTAAATAAGGGGATGCTGTCAAATGCAACCTGAGACGCAGGCAGTGATGAAGCACAGTTAGCTGTGACTGGTAGCTGTCACCAAAACCAAAGAGTCAAATCAGTCCTGCAGAGTCACAGAAAGTAAAATACTGCTTGAACATAGACTTTGAAACCTCGGATCACTCCTGAAGCAGAATGGGCCTGCAGCAAGGAGGATGTTTTAGACTTCTCGAAAGGTAGCGTCTGTGTAGTCCTTGTCACATCTGAGGATTAATGCAAACATATATAATTTTTGTTTGTTTGCTGAATTCCATGCAGCACAGCTCTTTGGTGGTTACAGTACAGCATTGCAGGTGATCCAAAAATCAAAGCATTTCTACGTGTTTTTTTTAAATATACTTTAATCCTCTTAATGCCCCACAGTCTGAGGCATACCAGCCCATATCAGCTCGTAGTAAAGCCAGTATGTTTTACACATGCGTGCCAGACCTCACACGATCGCTTTCAAATTTACACTTATTACTTATGACAGCCGCACACTGCAGACACCCTGTCAATAAGGAAGCCTTGTCTTCAAAGTCATACCGCTAATCCCGCCGACAGTGAAAATCAGGCTGGAGTTCGGAGAAGCAAGAAGGGCGTAAGAAGAAGTGGCAGGTAAATAACCATCCAGAGCTGAGCAACTGTGTTTTTGTTTTTTTGGTTTATAGCTTCTTCCCTTCCTTTGTTTTCCTTAAGCCATTCAGTCTTCTTTTATCACTTATCTCTTATTCATTCATCTCAGGCAAATGTTTGCAGCAGCCAACACTGTCACAGAAATGCTCGGGAACTTTGAAAGAAATCATGTGCAGCAGCTAATCACACACAATAAGGAACATGTGACTGCAGCTTTCATTGATGATGTGTAGTAGAAAAGAATGGCTGCAAAAAAAGCATCACTTTTTCAGTCTTTCCAAAGCATTTAACAGCAGTCTGCTTCAGCGTTTGCTAAAACTGTTGCATGTCTTCGCTTGAGTGTCAGAAGTGTATACGACAGATCAAATAGCTTAAAGACTGCATAAAGGTGACACGGCAAACTCCTTTTTTGGATCTACAGTTTCACACTCTGTAAAAAGTTGTAAGCTGTAAATGACTTTCAAAACTGAAATCATACAATTTTGACAAATTTTGACATCAATGTAAACAATGTAATCAATCACATTATATAACAGAAAGCATTAAATCCAATTAAATATAGCTAACGATGAAAATGAGAATGATTAGATGGAGACCATAAATGGAGCTAAAATGAGAATTTGATTAAATAACAGTTATTTGAGTAAACAAACCCCTAATGCGTCAGGAGTCTTTAAAACTGTTTAACTTTAGCTGTCAGTTATTGCATAATCACTTGTTACCTGTTTATGTTTTTTAACAAGCGTGTAGGCTGATGCTTTACAGCTACCACATTAATCATTATCATAATCCGCTGCTTTAGAAACACCATGATTGGAACCTGCTTGGGAGCTTTGATTCAAAGTTTCTAATCCAGGTCCATAGCAACACTGCAGGAGGATCTGCGGTGTTCCAGAGAGGGCTTTGTCTCCCGGTATGTCAGTGGGCAAACCTGGGCATGTCACGGAGGAGCGTCCGGGCTCAGGCAAGGACAGCTTGGAACTGGAAAAAAAAAAAAAAAGATTGTGATGCTTCAAACGTAGAACAATGTGCTTCCACCCACACAGTACGCTGTTGGTGCTGCGGTCACATGTTGGACCACAAATGCAGATGCTTCCATGTCAGGAAACAGCGGTGCATTCAGGAGTGGTTCAACAGGAAATGGTGTGTCAGGAGCTTATAAGCTTTGCTTGTTTTTTGTTTGGTTTGGTGGACTTCCAGCTGCTCCATGTGCACAACACGGCAGAGAAAGATAGAGGCTCTCACTGATACCTTAATTTGGTAATTATAACATCTCAATGTTAAGCTCAGTGGAACAACATGTGTCCTGTTTCATCCAGTTCGCCTTCCCATTCAGCCTCGTCTGTCTGACTCCTGCTTTATGGGTGACAGCCCCCTCCCTGTCCTCACATCAATTATTCAAGCTCCTAGTAACCTGAGCATCATTGCAGTCCACCTGCTGCTGCAGTTATTTTGAACCTGATCTTGAAGGAAACCTGAGAGTGATCGACACACTTTGGGTGTAACTGAGCTGGTGACAGCATTTCAGCCTTTCAGTGGAGTACTGACATCATGTCATTTGAGCTTAGCTCACAAGAAAAATTATGAGCTTAAAAACACTCGTCCCATATTCCACTCCAGCTCTTTGTGCATTCTTTTAAAACTTTCTTACACTGATGAGTGATTAGTACTGTAGTCAGTGCATTTTTCAGAAGGTCCTATTGCCAGCCTCCAATGAAGACCTAATTATCCTTAATGAAATACATGATGTTGAATTACATATTTTAACATGCTTCATAATAATCGGTTCTCCCGGCACTTTATCATATTTAAAACCAACAGTTTGGCCACAGCCACTGACATGAAAACCATCTTCCAAATAATGCATATTGCAATGTAATATAGGTCCAAAAAAGACACAAATAAACAATGGGTCATTTGCATTGACTCAGCTGGATGTCAAGTGCCTACATCGTGTTTTATGTCTTTTTACTCAACAAATTAGAGAATTTCTTGTATTTTTTAAGTGCAATTTTAAAAATAACAAATAAAAACAACTACTATCTTTTTCTTCTTCTCATGACTACAAGCCTGCACTGAATTTAATTCCGCTTTGAAATATTTACTTGTTGAAAGTAACAAACAATGCTGTTACTGAAGAATACACTCAATGTGCCGGAAGCTGTTTGGGCGTTCATTAACCACAACACAGTCATTTCATCCTGTTTACGTAAATATGTTTGCGTCTGCGTTTCACCTGGTTCCCACCTGAGAAGTCTGAAAAATGAAACCCAACTTTTGGGATAACTGCTGCAGGGCCCCTGTTGTAAGCTTTCCGGTTTTGGAAAATCTGGTTTGTCATAGTTTCGATGCCAGAATAATTTATATGTTTAATTCCGGGGAAAGGCCACAGGAGCACAAAGCTTTTCAAACATGAAACAATGGTGCACTGTAAACACGTACTGTGGCCTATTTGAAATAACAGGGAGCTATGCGTCTGTTCAGAGTTTTAATATAGATTAAGTGACTTTAAAATTTAAAAGCAGTGAACCTATAGATTAATACAGCCATGGGAGAAAATTTTATATCGTGTGAATGGGACTAATGGGGGCAGATGGACGCATGAGTGGATATCCGCATATTCTTCTTTTCTGATAATCTGGGTTTGTCTCTGTTTCCCCACTTACAGCTCTCAGTGGTGGCACTCCCTTATCAGGAATGACCCGCCGTGTAGGCTCACACTGTACAGTGACGTCTTAATAACACCTTTATGTCTCATATAGCCGGCTGAATAAATGCTGACATACCTCTGCAGAGGCTCGCTGAGCAATCTGAGAAACTCAATCTGTCCTCATCAGGCTGCACGGCGATCTCATGTCCATCCGTCATAAACGTCTGCTTTGAAAGAAAAATAACAATAATATAAACAGTGATGATGTGTGTTTCTCTTTCCATTAAAACGAGCGCTGTTTTCACTCTATTTATTTGTACTGGTGATAGTTAGAGCGCCGCCCTGTCCCATCTGCCACACGCAGGTCCCCGAGGGGCCCCTGTACCGTACTGGACCCACATTGTCACAATCGTGCACCGCATCACGCTTTGAATTCGCTTTTTTGGAGAGAGAAACAGAGAGAGAGAGAGAGACAGACAGACAGACAGACAGACAGAGAGAGAGAGAGAGAGACACAGTATCTCCCACACACACTCGCTCACACTCGCGCCCTCCCCTTCCTCCGTGCGCAAAGGAGGACTCCAGAGTTCTGCTGAACTTCTCCAGAGTGACGGGCTCTTTCCGGAGTGACGGGCGGGAATCGTTCCAAGTGTGCGGCCGCGAAAGCCATGTAGCAATGTTAGATAAGGAACTATATTTTAATTTATTTTCAGTTTTTATTATCATAAGGTTTCTGAGTCTGGCGACATGGAGTCCGAGACGGGACGAAGCAATGGGATCCTGCGTGCGGTTTGAAGATCGAGGTTTGTTCTTTTGAAGTCATTATTTTCTTCTTCTTCTTCTTCTTCTTCTTCTTCTGCTTCTTCTTCTTCTTCTTCTTCTCAGCGGGTTTAGCTGACAAATTGGCTGCTTTACTGTACAGCCTACTAATTACAGCCATGAGCGGTCGCCTCTTTTACCGGATAGGATCGCACTTCACAGCTGATTATGCTACCGAACCCGGAGGAAGGCTTATTTTCTTTAAGCGATCTCGTACAGGTGTTTTATCCAATATTCAAATTTTTATAGCTCATAAACCATTGCTTTCTTCTTCACTTTATTTTAATGTTATCTGTTTCTCTTTTTTATTGGTGCTTCATTACAAAGCAGTGATGACACGCACGTTTCATGCAGTTTATGCTCTGTGCAAAGTCTGGACGGTATGGCTAAAATCAGATGAAATTTATCTGGACCCATACTAATGACATAATATTTTAATATGATGCTTGCATGGATCCACATGCAATCCTTGTATGTTATATCTACAGTATCTACTCTCATGATAATGACTAAATAATTAGGCTAATAACATAAGGTTTCTCTATAGTTTTTTCTTGGTAAAATTTAAACTGATACGCTGAGAACTCATCAGATTTTCTGCTTGTATAGTCAAATTACTTCCGTTCTCAGAGAAAATATACATTTTGATGAATTGATGTCTCTATAAAATATATAATCCAGAACCTCCAAAAAAAATGGATGATGTGCCCAGAAATGGCCTGAGGTGGGATTTTAGTGCCAGTAATTGCGTTCTAAATCAGCTTAGGGAATAAACTTATAAACGGATTACTGGCTATGAAGGAATGTTTCAATAATGGCCCCTGAACCAGGCTTTACATCTGATGGTTACAACACTCTAATCTTAAAAGATGAACAGAGTGATTGACAGAAAAATGAATGGGCTTTACTCCAATTTTTAATAAGAATTAAGAATTTAAGAAAATGTGTCCCAAAGGGAGGCACAGTGGTACACCCCTGTTACCAACATTTAAAGACACTCACTTTATTTTATTTGTTTATTTATTTTAAGGCAGCGAAACTGCGATGATTCTTAAATTATTTAACCTACGGCTCTATAGTGTCATTTACAGATTAAGCTTACAAATTAAACATTCCCGAGTCGATCCAGGAAGGAGATATAAATCCCTTTGGGGTTATCAGGAAGGGAATCTGGTGTAAAAAGAAATCTGCCAAATTAAACATGTGGAACTACTGGCTGTGGTTTTCTATTTAGTTTAAAATGCAAGAAGAATAAATATAATTGTAATAAATATAATTTTCAAACTTGTTGCTTTTTTTTAAATGGAGATGTCATAAAATACATTTAAAAAGGATTATCCTGTAACAACAAAAGACTTAGAAATAGTCCTCAACATAAAGTGAGGAATAATTTTTGAATTTCATTTTCTGTGGTGCATAAAACTATGAAACAATTCAGAGAATAGAGAGAAATCTTTTCACATAAAGGAAAAAGCCAAAAGTGATGATTGGGCTTTTGGACATTTGCATTAAACAAGAAAAAGAAATATGGTGGAAATCACTTCACAGCTCAGAAACACTGCTAACAACCACTGAGAGTGAGCACAGTTTTTGCTGCATTCAGAAATACAAGTGAAAGTTTTATTATGCAAAGACAATACCATAAACACTATATGCCTCTCTGGGTCTGAGTCATCTAAAACAGGCAGGTGCAGAGACTATCATTGCACAGATACAAGCCACAGTCTGTGAAACTTGCCATGAAGGAACCATTAATACTAAACAGCATATACAGTTTTTAGGTTCTGAGCAATATTTTCCAGCTAAATCCTTTCAACCACAGACCCTGTAAGAATCTGGGTGCTGAACTGGCCTGCCTGGAGTCCAGTGCTGTCAATCTCTGAAAACATTTTTGTCATGAAATTGGCTCTGAAATTTCAATCTGCTGGCATATCAAGCACACCTGGGGGGGAAATGCCATTCACAAGAGCAATTTGTCTCTGTAGTTCCCAAAGGTGAGAATGTTATGAAAAGAAGAGGTGACACAACACAGTGGGAAACATATCCCTGTTCCAACATCTTTGAAATGTGTTTTTGGCATCCATTTCAAACTGTCACGTCCCAAAATGTGCTGTTATTTTCCACAAAGCAATGTTTCTCAATATCTGATACGTTGTCTATGAAGCGAGTCAAATGCAGGGTTCAAATGATTTGCAAATCACTGCATACAGTTTTTTATTTATTTATTTATTTTTTAAGACAAACTTATAAGTACAAAAGTGAAAGCCCCGCTGCAGGCACATTAAGCCCATTAGGCCCATCCCATGTTTAAAGTAAGACAATCAAGGCTACAGGTAGCTCAGGTATTACTTGCGGTTTAGCCTTCAGGACTTCAAAAGACACTCCTCATGATTATTCTGAACTGTCAAAACATGTCCATAAAACCAAGCTCAGCTTGGAGTCTAGCACTGCTCTCCCTGCTTACACTGTGACCCCCTCACAGTTGGATGTTGACCTCTGCAGGGGGGTGGGTTTTGGCCTAAGCTGAAAGCTACAGAGGCAGGATTCTGAGAAAAAACTTGCGGAAATGCCTCTCGCTGACGGCTTTTCCTGCAGGAAGCAGAAGAACTGTGATCTAAACTTGGAAAGTGACAAAAGGATATGAACAGGAACTCCAGACATTTCCTAGATATATTGAAAAGATGGCTTCTTTGTTCAGAAAACACCCTTAATATTTGGAAATGCCTTATACTTTACATTACTGTCAGCCCTGCTTAATCATTTTCACTCAGGAGCTTGCAAATGGGATGTTTTTATGCCACACTGCTACACTACACTATTTCTGCACAATTCCCCCTTTCATTTTGATTGATCCCATAACTGAACAGCCCCAGAGCCTTTCAGGTTACCTTAGTCATTCTACAAAGGCGAGACGTGTGATGCCTAATAGCACTCTACTCACATAAACACCCACCGGTCTGCCAATTTGTATCGATACAAGTAGTCTTACATCGTCTTAGCAACATGTGGCTGAGTCACAGCAGCGATTACAACGATCAGACTCTCGTCTGTCCTAGTTACAGCTCACAGTATCATGTGAGACCATGCCGCATAATTAAACGTGCAACATGTCAGTGCAGCCCAGAGCAGCCTCATAAAAATTCCTGCGGCAAGAGTGACAAACTGTTGTTTGGCATTAAAGTTTACCTCTTCAGTTGCAGATGCTTTAAATTAAAGGTATAATTGTGAATTGTTTGGCTGTCGGGGAAATCTTAACCCTGAAATGTTAACTTTGATATGCTAAATTAGCTCTGCTGGTCCTTTTTCTTTTGCCTGGTCAATGTGAAAATGTGTGTTGTCACAGGCTGTGGTCCACTGTTTGCTAGTTTACCTCACAAGGTGATGGTAAAAATTGAGGATAAGCAGAAACAGAGTTCCTGTTGTACATGTTTATTATTTTAAAGTTGGAAATACCACTAATGCCTAATAACATCTCTTATTTATATTCTAGTAATTCTAATATTCTTGTCTGTTTAAAATGCCTGTTTCTGTTTGGGCTGCTATCTATGCAATGCACAATCACTGTCTCTGTCCCTGTCACTCCTCGTCTCAGAGGTTTCTGTCAGAGCACCACACTGTGGTGGCTTCAGGTCCTACAACTGTCAGGTGAATCATAAACCTGGAAACAGAAGCAAAATGCCACTACATGTGTTTTCTTGGTCTCTAGTATCTTGTGGAATTTAGTACATTGGTCCATTAGTAAGATAAATAATTATACAGTAAAAATGTTATCGCAAAACAGGAATAAGTGATTTTAGTGTTTTCGGGTTTTTTTCACAAAGAGCAGTGTGTTTCTTCTGTCCGTTTCATCACATCTATCACATCATCAAATCTATTGATTGCTTAACAGGATGTTTTTGTGATGGTGGACGGACTGGTGCCAATCATGGAGCCTGAGCTGAACTGCAGCTCCCAGTGTGAGTCCCCATTTTGCTTCATCCAATCTGGAGTCAGCAGGCAGGACAGCCTCGACGTTCTGCAGAGGCTATGCAGTCTCAGCACGGTAACCTCTCTCTGTCACTCTCTCATGTTAATATATATACTTATAATGAAAAATATAACAATGCCAAGCACATACTGTATACTCATGGGTGAGAAATTAAAGGAAAAGAAACTCAGAAACCTATACTTCCAAAAGATATCCCTTCATTCTTGGTTTTGATGATAGATGATTGAGTCTAAAATCTCCCATAGGTGTTCAGCTGGTTGAGAGCTCTTGACAGGAAGGCCATAGAATATGATTCATGTCGTTTTAATGTACATGCAGCCACTCAGCAAACCCTCAATGTTTCACCAGAGTATAAAGGTGAGGGTGAACAACTTTGTCCAGATTTACAATTACTCTTACAATGCCAGTAAATTACTCTTACAGCATAATAAATCAACAGGATTTTTCTTGTGGTCAGCTCAGCTGGCCAAGTTAGTTTTTCCTTTAATTTGTCACACATTTGTGTATCTAGACTATCCAGATGTCACATGCACATGTTCCTGCATTTACACAGTAAACAGATTCTTTTTACATCACAAAGTGCTGGCACACTGGCATGTCTTGTGCAGTTGACCTTGTGAAAGGGTGAAAAGGGTGAAACTACTTCTGATTAATTCGATTAGCAAATTACTTTTAATCGAGAGATGTTCACTCAAAGCCTAAAAAAAACTGTTTTTTCAAATTACTTTTAAATGCAGATTTTAAATGTTGGTCGGTTGGTCAGTGGAACAAGTGAGCCGTGTAAATAAACACACCAAGCAAGCTAGGAGTGTGCTACTATCCTACTCGAGGAGCTATTTGAATGGTACATATCCCGAAAGGTAATAGGGGTGGACTACCGAAGCTATGTTTAGTATCGTCTCAGTCACTGGTGCCCTTAAGAGACGAGTCAGCGGAGATCAGCACCGTGAGGCAGGCAAAGAAAGTCTAATAAGACTTTCCAAATAGAAGCTAAAGTAGCCGAGACGCTGTGTCAAAGGAACACAAACAAGCTTTTCTCTTCGTGCCGTGCCACAACGAGTTGAGGTGAGTTATCGCTTTGATTTCTTTCACTTTCGGATGTTAATTTATGCATGGGTGTGTCTCAGAGTGTATAGCATCCTCACCCAGGGGAGGGAAGAACAGCGAACTGCGGTTTTCTTTGTTATGGTAATTTTTAACATGACAAAATAGTATTGAAACATAGTATTATCCTTTAGTTCAGTGTCTTTATGGGCTCTCTTTATTATTTTCTAATGACCTCAACTGACATAAAAACTGCTCAGCTAAAGTGAAATACTCTTTGATGAAATCTAACACCATGCATTTGTTGCTATTTGTGGATGTGGACAGCCCACCAGGCACCAAGTGTTCCTATCCCTAGCGCTATAGTGGAAAGACAAAAATACAAGAAGCTGAGCCAACTTATTGCATAAAACACCACCTGTTTTTTCTCTCTCTGTGCTTCTAGATATGGCCACAGCTGGCAGTGTGCTGTCCAAGGAGCAGCTCCTTTGCCCCATTTGTCTGGATTTGTTCAACCAGCCAGTGTCCACTCCTTGTGGGCACAACTTCTGCAGGGAGTGTTTACAAAGATATTGGCAGACCTCTAACATGCCTCAGTGTCCCATGTGCAAGCACAAGCTGTACATGCGGCCTGACCTCAAAGTTAACACCTTCATATCGGAGGTGGCTTCTCATTTCAAGGAGTTGGTGGAAAAGAAAAATGAAAATGAGAGCAGTGCTATGGATCAGTCAGAGGGCCACAAAGGAGAGGTTTCATGTGATGTATGCATTGGAAAAACAGTCAAGGCTTTTAAATCCTGTCTGGACTGTTTGGCCTCATTTTGTGAGACTCATCTAGAGCCCCATCACGTTCTAGGCACCTTCAAGAAACACCGCTTGATTAAGCCCATGATAAACATGCAAGACAGGGTTTGTAAGCAGCACGAAAAGCTGCTCGACCTGTTCTGTAACACTGACCAGGTGTACGTGTGCCAGATCTGCATTACGAAAGACCACACGGCTCATCAGACTGTTCGTATAGAGGATGAGAGCCGGAACAGAAGGGCTCAGATCGGGAGCACAAAAAAAGAGGTGGGAGAAATGATCCATCGCCGACTGCAGAAAATCTGTGACATCAATAAAATCATTCAAATCAGCAGGAGAAACACAGAAAGGGAGACTGAAGAGAGTCTGCGCGTCTTCAGCAAGCTGTTCCAGCTTGTCCAGAGAGGCCAGGCTGAAGTGGCCGAGGTGATTGGCGCAAAGCAGAAGCAAGTAGAAAGCATGGCCAGCAGGGTTATCTTGGAGCTGGAGCAGGAGATTGATCAGCTGAGCTGCAGGAGAGATGAACTGGAGCAGCTCTCGTTCACCGACGATGATCTCTATCTTCTCCAATACTTTCCAGCTTTTGCCACAGTGCCAGCCACCAAAGACTGGTCCGACACCTGCTTAGAGAGTACTGAATATGTGGGCATAGTGAGGAGAGCGGTGAGGAGAGTAATGTGTCAGCTGGAGGAGACGGTAAAAGCTGAGGTGAAGAGGCTCTGCGAATCCGAATTTCAGAAAGCTCAGCGATATGCTGTGGATGTGCATTTGGATCCCGATACCGCTCATCCCAAGCTGGTGCTGTCTGAAAACAAGAAGCAGGTCTATCACGGTGACGTATCCCTCGGCCTTCCTGACAACCCAGAGCGATTTTACCCTTGTGTGAGCGTTTTGGGAAAGGAGGGCTTCTCTGCTGGAAGGTTCTACTATGAAGTCGAGGTGAAAGGAAAGACAGAATGGGATATTGGAGTTGCGCTTGAAACGGTGACCAGAAAAGGAGGGAATGTGCTAAACCCCGACAGGGGCTACTGGTCGCTGGGGATGCGAAAGGATGAGAGCTACTGGGCGCTCAGCAACAGCCCTGTGTGTGTCCCGCTGATTGAGAAGCCCCAGAGAATTGGGGTGTATGTGGATATGGGCTGGGGACAGGTTTCATTTTACAACGTGGACTCTCATTCTCACATCTACTCCTTCACTGGGTGCACCTTCAGTGGCAGACTTCTCCCCTACTTTAACCCACGGAGGAATCACGGCGGGGTCAACTCAGCACCTCTCATCATCGTGCCTGTTAACTAAAACTTCGTAACGTGCGATCTCTACTTGAATGCTTCGTTTAGTTTTCAATTTAACGTTTCAACTGTGCAAAAAAAAGTTCCAAGTCTGTAGGGTAATTCTTGCTGTTTAATAAAATCGTGTTTGTCCAAATGAATCGTGTTTCTTTTTTTATTATTATTGTTTTGTGTCTGTGATTTCAAAAAATGAGAGTTTCAGATGCACAAGAGCAGCATCTGAAATAATTTGGATGCATGTTTGCATGTTGCATGTATTCGTTTGCAGATGGTAGCAGAGCTCCCGAGGCGCTCTCTCTCATCGGTGCTAATTGCTGTGGTATGGACGCTCCTCTCCTGTGGAATCCTGTTGGCATTTTGCTTCCTCCTTTTCACCCTGCGCTTCAAAAACAACAGGTACAGTGAAGCATACGCAGTATATAAACACAAAGAGAGGCTTACAGAAGTCATTTAACATAATGTGTGTCATGTCATTAGGATAGTAAAGATGTCCAGCCCCAACCTCAATGCCCTGACTCTCTGTGGAAGTGTCCTCACCTATAGCAGCGGTTTCCTGTTTGCCGTCGAAGAAAGTGGAGCATCTATAGCTGTTCTACAAGTGAGTCCAACTTCCCTTCACCGCTCTGTATTAGCGTTGACATTGTTAGATTGAAGTAATCATACCATGCTCTCTACCGTAGACTCGCATGTGGATGCTTTGTGTAGGCAGTACCCTGGTGTTTGGCCCAATTTTGGGGAAGACATGGAGACTGTACAGGGTGTTCACGCAGCGCGTGCCGGACAAGAGAGTGGTAGGCATGCTCTTCAATTTTCCTGGTGGTTTCCTAGGGTTTGTTGTCAGCATCTAAAGATTTGGACTTTAGGATACATGAAGTATCTTATATAGTACACAAATATGAGTAGATACTTTGAGATGTGAACGAAAAAACAAAGACACTACATAGTCTACAGTCCATATATATATCTATATATCTATATATAGATATATAGATATATATATTTTTGTATATTTGCCTGTAGGTTTGGTGATAAATTTGATCCTCCTGGACTTGGAGGAAGTGCTTTTCACAGATGATTCTTTTCAGCTGCTCCTTGCTGGAGGAATTTTGTTGCTTGACCTTCTACTTTAAAACACTCCAGATGTAGTCTCTTTGAATTAGGGGACATAGTTTTCACTCTTTCCTCCTGTGTCCACTTTGTTAAGACCTCAGGGCAACCTTCCTTCAGTTTCTGGGCACAAACTTGCTATCTCCCCAACATTGTTTGCACTCGTGTTTCACAGCCAGCACTGTTGACCTCCTCTTACTTGAAGTATTATTCTTGCTTTTATTTGGTTGTAACTCTAACTAAAAGTGCTTTCACTAATGGTCACAATGCTTCTTTTCATGATCTTTGGCGAATCGTGCAGCACTGTGCTGTTTTTAAGCTGCTGTTTCCTTCTTTTCTTTCTTTCTGCAGAGGCTTAATTCATTCAGGGTTTTTTTTTTTATTGATGCATTAGTTTCTGCTGATACTCTGTCCACCATCAAACACGCCATCTGCTTTTCAGTCAAATTATATGTAGCAAAAAATAGCAAATTGTGTATTTGTGCTGTATTTAAGGCCGTCCACTGTGCCTGTTTGTGTTAACATGGATCTTCATTTACCTTTTTTACTTTTTAATCACTCCTGGCTCTTTGTTTTAACTTATGCCAAGTAGCCTACTTACACTCTTGGACCCTCTCTATCTTTATGACATCTCACAATCTGGTTTCTTACGTGCTCAGGCAATTGAGCCATGCCAGATTAGACACAGCCAAGGCCAACACATAACAATATAACCACTGTAATATGTTGGTATAGTAGTTTATGTTCAGATAACAGTTTGATTCTGGGATAAGATACAAAATTTGGGGGCTGGTCTGGGATTTGGACTCAGGGCCTCTCATGTTATGGTCCCTAAATCCATGGCTCAAAGAACCCTAACATATGAGATGCCACAACACTGCTGCAGTTCAACAAATGTTTAATATTGCAAAAACAGTTCTTTAAAAAAATAAAACAAATAGATATAACAAGGAATAGGAGCCCAACCATAAACAAACAAGAGAGAAAGAACATGAACAACTACACAATGAGCAATCAGATTCCAGCTTAAACTAATAGTCGTAAACTAAACTAATAAAACCAAGACTGAAAACATGATTTTCACTAACTCCCAACTCAACTATTGAATTGAATTGAACTAGGAATAAATTAAAAACAAACAAACAAACAAAAACAGCAAAAAAGAACAACTGAGCAATAATGCTGGTGCTGGTGAGGAAGAGCAGAGAGAACATCTTTAATAGGTGTGCAGCACTAGGGATAAAGAATAGATCAAGAAAGGGGGGAACAGGTTAATAAAGGATGACAGAAAAAACAATAACGGCCTGGCACATGTGCTGGTGCACAGAGAAGCATGTAACACCCTCAGTGGTCTTTACCATCGGTTTGTGGGATTATCGCCTTTCATCTTTAGTCACCATGGCCACCTCTTGGCTTCATCTCACTTTCAAACCTTGTTGATAAAAATTTCTTTAATAAAAATTTCATGTCCAATTACATTTGTTGCAGAAAGCAACAATATAAGTGATTTGATTTTTGCGCTTTGCTGCTTTTTACATAGTCAGTATGTATTATGTATTTTTCTTTCTTCCTCCTCTATTTACCAGATTCATCAAGCATGTTCTGCCCCAGGTATTTATATTGCTTAGGAGATATTCAGAGATGTTTCTGAAGCAATAACTAGCAGGTTAGGCCATGGATAAGAGACAAAGCTTGTTTTTGCTTAATATAAATTTCTTTACTGTGCATATCCAATCTGATAACTGTGCCACTTAATCAAGGTGTCGCTACATGAATGAAAATGCTCCACTGGTGAAATAATAACTGGGGACTGTGCTCTATGTGTCAGATAATCAGGGACATCCAGTTGATGGGTATGGTGGCTCTGTTGATCCTGGTGGACATGCTGATTCTCACCGCTTGGAACCTCACCGACCCCATCAGGTGCTCACGATCTGTGGGAGCTGTTGTCAAGGTAGGATTATTGGTGACTTCCTGAAGCTGAGCAAAAAGTTGTAAAATGACTTGGTTTCATTAAGAATGATGAAAACTGAAATGCATGGGACTTAAATGTTCACCTGAATGCTTTTTGCTGTCAAATTATGTAAAGTGAAATTGAATGAGATTGCAGGAAAAATTGAATTTGTGACTGGAAAATGACAAACTCATACATAATGATGACAGCTAAATAAATCAACTCTCTGATGGTGTGTTGTTTTCTTTGATGATGTAGGTGATGGAAAGAGATGTTTCCTACTCGTTGTCGCAGCTGGTTTCTTGTACTTCTTTGTACTCAAATCTGTGGATCATTATTGTTGCTGTCCAAAAGGTAACTAGTCTCTATTCAAACTTTATTATACATTTGTATCAGTAAAATGCACATTTTAAAGTTTTGCATTATTTTGATGGCATCATTTATCTTTCACGTGGTGTTTTCTGTGTTTTCTGTATGCTGTACAGTTTTCTCCAGTTTGCATTATGTAAACACACCATTGCAAGTGCTTTACTTAAGTGAATATATGTGAATAAAACTGCTGAATTTGAGAAATCAAATCAAAATGATAGTTTCAGACGTCAAGTGTTAAAGAACCTAACATCTGAAAGACTTTGGTCATTCATTTTTGTATAATATGAATAATTTTTAAACAATAATAATGGTTATTTATCCACCATGTTTCTTTTTTTTTCTCCTTTTTTTTTCTTTTAATGCCCTTTGTCTTTACTTTGTTTCTCTTTAGGGTTGTCTTCTCCTCTATGGCACTTATCTAGCTGGACTGACAAGTAATGTCAGCCATCCCCCAGTCAACCAGTCTCCTACAATCATTACATGCGTCACTTTGGTCACCTGCTCCTCCGCCGTTGCCACCCCCGTGTCCATCTTCCTGCAGACTTGGCCCAACCTGGTCTACAGTACTGTGGCTGGAGCCATCTTCATCTGCACGCTGGCTACAAACTGCATGCTGTTTGTGCCTCAGGTCAGACACTGATGTCATTTTCCATTTTTTAGCATCTGCGTAACAGAAAACTACTTGGAAAATAAACTTTATCGTGTCTAGAAGTATTATGTTTACTGATTGTCCATTTCACTTTTGCGAACACAATGATGCTTCAGTGTACAGAGGGTTTTTTTTTTTTCAAATATGGCAAACGTATTTACTTAAAGTGAAGGATAAACTGATTATATAATAATAGAATACTATGTTTAGAAACCAGCAGTAAATAAACAGACTCAATCAGACAGACAGAAACTAAATACAGACAGATGACAAATAGACACGCGAATGGTAGCTTTGGTTATGACTTTTTCTTTTTCATTTGAATAAAGTAGTAAATCTGTGAGTGATTGCGGTGCTCACACATGCAGTTTTATGTGTGCCAGGTTTCCATGTCTGTCAGTGGAGGGTGACTCACACACAAGGTGTTTATGAGTCAAAACTACGTAGGCTGTCGCAAACAGGTTTATGACTCTCTAAGAGTCTAGCAGAGGACTTTTGTTATGGTAAAGGAATGCATCTCCTCTGGAACGGAAGGAAATAGCTGAACAGTGAGCAGTTTGTGCAAATACACCTGGTGAATATTCCAGATCAAATGACCCTGATAATATATCTTCTTTTTTTGTTAAAAAAAAAACTACATTTTTTTCATATCTCTAAAATATCTCACTTGCCCCATACAGCTGACCCAGTGGCGACAGTTTGAAGAAGATCAGAACAACCCGAGTCAGATGGCCAAGTATTTCAGCAGCCCCAGTAAGAGTCAGCCATCTGTGTACAGTCAGGATGAAATCTTCTACCTGCTGGGGGAAAACAGCTCAATGAAGAAACTCCTTAATGAGGTAACGTTACTGTTTTCTTCTCAGAATTAGCCACTCGGTAAGAAATCATCTTTGTTTCATGTTAGAAATCATATAAAGCTGCAGTAGAACTTTCTCATTTAATTATAAGACACGTAATCTTTATTTTTTTTGCAGATGATTTAAGTTTTCCATTCCTCTCCTGTAGACGAAATGTGCTTTCTTTATAAAGGCCAGTAGGGGGTGACTCCTCTGGTTGCAAGAATATGGGGAACTGACACCACTTCTCTTATTTATGATCTCAGTAGAAACTTCCTTGATTAGTTTATGGTAACAATCACTGTCTTTTTTTAAATAGAGCATAAGGTTTGTGTAGTAAAGAATTGTAACCTTTAGAGTAAAATCAACACCAAAGTAGAGTATGCTTCGGGGCGTGGCTGCAAATATGTCACGTCGCTAAACTCAATTAGGATTTTAAACAATTTGTCATTTTTTGAGTATTGCGGTAGCACATATTGCAATTTAGTGGCCTTTTTTAAAGCGTTGCAAACTGATGCAGACACTTTGCTGTACTCAAATTGTCCTCGACTATATGCTTCACATCTCTCTATATTGTGGGTATGGATGTGAAAAAACTTGACATATCAGGATTCCAGGCTGTTTAACACGTAACAAAAATTTCAATTTCGGTCAATTTTATTTATACAGCATCAATAGTCCACTCAGTGTGCTTTATACAGTAAGGTAAAGACTCGGGTATTAGAAAGAAACCCTAACAATCATATGATCCCCTATGAGCAAACGCAGGAGGACAGGGAAAAAGGCAAAGTGTGGGAGAGAGAGTCAGATTTTAATAAAGGCTCTTGTTATCTGAGAAAAAGGGTTTTGTAAATAAAGTACCGGTAGGTAATGGATTGTGTTACTTCAAACTAAGTGTGTCTAGTCTTTTTTATTTTATTTTAGTTTCTATTTTATACCTAATAAACTTACATGGAAATGGAGCAGCAGAGCACAGTTCTGATAGCGTACAAGGCACTTATAATGTCCCCCCAGCTTCTGTGTTGGACACATCTTTGTTCCTCATCTATAATAATGTGTGTGATGCACTGTCCAAGTACTGGTCTCTATATTAAACACAAAAACAAATTTCAAGAGTTTACATCCTGAAGCTGCAGGTAGTCCTCTTAACAGACTAGTTTACTGTCAAAATTAGGTGACAAACACATTCAGTACAACATATAAAACTGACACCTTCATATTACTTCATTAGTGGTGTAGATGAAACAGGGCTGAGTCAGTGCTGAATCAAAGTGGCACCAGCTGCTTAACCATATGTTTACGACTTTCTGTCACTGCTTGACTGTTCTGTTTATATTGATTCAAAAGGCAGGAAACTGATGCGTGCCAAGTTTTCATAGTGGCAGATTTTTCTAGCAACATTTTCTCAGTATGTGTCAAAATGTTTTCACTTCTCTGTATCACCACAATTTTCAGAAGAACGCCGTGATCGACAGTCTCCAGGAGCAGGTGAACAACGCCAAGGATAAACTCCTGAGACTCATGTCAGCGAGCCAGCACCCTGAGGACCAAGACATGGACTCCTCTGCCACTAACCTCAACTCATCCTCCACTCAGACGACCGAGCTCCAGTCGGAAGGCCCCTCTACTTGTTCTCAATCTCAGAAAGACACTAAATCAACACTCTCGCCCTCTGCTCTCTCGCCTCACCTCACTGCTGCTCATGGTTCATTATCTGCTGTTACACCGTCCTCTGCTCCTTCCTCTATTTCAAACTACTCCGCTCCCATTTCTGTTTCCTCCCCTCTTCCCACCAAAATCCCTGCTTGTGAAACTCAAAACAATGCATCTGCTCTCAAACGGGACGCATCCCTCCCGTTTATGGGTTTACTCAGGACACCAGAGGAGACAGTTCAATTTGTGACCTCTCTACAGTACCGACGAGGGTTGAACCCCTCTATGGCTGAAACCTTTGGTAGTTATAGTGGCCTAAATATTCAGGTGGGACCAAATACTAAACCAGCTGGTTTTGTTAGTAGCGAACAGTTGCAGGAGATCCTACAGGAACTCAGCGTGGATGCAATCACGGAAACCACGCTTCGATCTCCCGATCAGGCGCCCAGGATACCTTCTCAGCAAAAACTGACCAGAGACTCTACACTCTCCCCTCTCTCCCCACGGACACCCTGCTCCCTTCCCTCTCCTGCACTCTTTCGCTACCCTAGCATCTCGCCTTATACCATGAGAAAAAGGCGGCGGCCCTTTCACTCCTCCAGAGGAGGTTTAGCTCCTCCCTGCTTCTACACAGGCTCTGAGGTTCCTGGCTGTGCAAGAGCAAGAGACACATGTGCGCTCCCAAGTCCAGAAGATATTACTGTGGATGATAACTGTATCCCACATCACAACAGTGACCTTGAAGAGGGAAAGGAGGAGGAGGACACGAAAGTGCGTGAAGTAGTGAGAACATGTCAGGGGTGTGTTTCAAGGCTCCCGAGATGTTCGGTCGTGCATTGTGAAGAACAAAACCGTAAAGCTCCAGAGGATGTGGGAGCAGGCGGTGATAACGAGCAGCACCGCAGACACATTCGAGACTCATGTGGGTACTCGGACTCAGACTCCAGCAGCTCAACCGATTACTGCTACTACCACCGTCCTTACTGTGACTCCTGCCTGCAGCGAGGCTCCCTCCTGTACTCAGACAGCTCCTCAGACTCCTCTGACAGCGAGTATGATGACTACTTGAGCCTCTACCGCTCACCACGCCCTGTGGTATTCAAAGAAGACCTCAAACCCACCTTCGTATGAACACGTTTACTGCACTTTACACATTTATCCAGTTCCAAAACTTGAATGAATATTCTCAGAAAGGTTGCTAAAACGGATGTACTTCTGTGATGGGGGACATTCGACAGTAGCTTACAGTATAGGAACTTTACATCCCAGAGATTGTTGTTTTTCTGTGTTGCACCATAGGTCACAGTGACTGATTTATGAGACTAAAACTTTTGTAGCTTAAAAACACATAATGCTGTTTACTTTTTAGTTACTTGTGGCATTATTTGGATTATTTGGATTACTATTTCTACTGTCTGATGAAAACCTTTGACACTTACAGTACTGTGCAAAAGCCTTGAGTTACTCATTTATTTATATTTAGTTTCTTTTAATTCTTTGAGTGGTTCTGAAGGACATTTGTCTTTGGACATTGGCTGCTTTTTCTTTCTTTTTCACATGAGACGCATGTTTTTTTCTGTGTTTGTTTTTTGTTAATCTTTTTAACACTTACCTTTGAATAATTCAAACATAAAAAGTGTTTGATGACAATGATAACAGACAACTTATCAAAAAATTTTTTAAATTGTATGTTTAGGCACTTTGTTACTAGCAGCCGTTCCAAAATGCATAATTTGTTTCCATTTCCTTAATCCATAAAAATAAATGCCGAAGATAACACATTTTCACAGATATAAAACACAGTTTTTGCACCACGAATTGATTCTCAAGGTGCTATCAGCCCACGATATTTCTTATGAATTATAGTTTCAGTTTTCCTCAACATATATGTGGGAGACCAGGAGAGAGGTGCAACAATGAGTGCCTACAGCCATCTGTAAAACACCGCGGAGGCTCTGTCATGGTTTGGGATTTCCTTTCAAGTAGTGGTTTTGGAGATCTTGTCAAAATTGATGGAATTATAAATGCAGAGCCCCAGCTCGGACAGTCTTGGTTGTTGTGTCCTTGTTGTGTCCTTGGGCAAGACACTTCACCTACCGCCTACTGGTGATGGCCAGAGGGGCCGATGGCGCAATATGGCAGCCTCGCTTCTGTCAGTCTGCCCCAGGGCAGCTGTGGCTACAACTGTAGCTTGCCTCCACCAGTGTGTGAGAGTGAATGAATAGTGGAATTGTAAAGCGCTTTGAGGGCCCCAAAAAGCGCTATATAAATGCACTCTATTATTATTATTAAAAAACATCCAAAGAAGAGTTTTTTTGTCCTTCAAGAAGCCCGGAGAACTATTACTGAAGACTACTTAAAGAAATTACAAGAAAGCTTGCCTAAGAGAGTTCAGCATGTGTTAAAGAATAAAGGTGGTCATACTTGTACAAACTCTGTTTCTTTCCTTATATACTGTATTTCTATTTATATTTATGCATCTATTTCATATTTTCCTGGCAAAATATTGTGAACTGAGGAAATCAGGACTTTTGCACAGCACTGTAGACAGGTGCTTTGTTAGTTAACTCATGTAAGTTCTCAAAATATACTGACAGAAGAGACACAATAATGAAAAATGACATAAACAGATGCAACATAAAAGGTTTTCACAGAACAAATGTGCGCTCTATTATCAATTGTGCAATTCTGTATTTATTTCTGTATTTATTTGTTGATGTTTTGGTGCCCAGAATTACTTTATGTTTCTTTTATTATAAACATTCCTTAAAATGTTGTTATGTTCCTTTGCTGACTCTGAGTTTGAATTTACAATGTGCATTCTGTGAATGTGAGTGCTGACTTGATGTTAAATACTAAACCTCACCTTTATATGATTTCCATGTTAAATGCAACATTTTCCCTGAGTTAAAATATTTGCCAGGCTTCCCATCACTTAAATCTCCACCATGATTTCACCACATTTTCATGGGTTTTCCTGAAACACAGACAAAAGCCTTTTCTCCCTCGTATCTTTCATGTCTCTTTTATAGCTTGCCCTTCACTTCCACTCCCTTCTGCTATCTACTCTCTGTCTTTCTCGTATTTTATCCCTCCACTAATGGGAAAATGTATGTTTGCCGGGGGAGGTGTTGCTATGAAGGCAAAACAGTGTCTTGCGTTACTTCTGCTCAGCTGCCTGCTTTTAAGATGCTGCTGCTCTCTGTTCAGCATATGAACCATTGAAGGCCAGCCTGGGAGAAACTCCCTTTGATACGGAGAATAAAACCCACACGCATACACACACACCTGCATAAAAGATACACTAGCAACTGTATCACTGTGAACAGGGAAAGACTTTCCTGCCCTTCTGGATTCTGCATACGATAGACTTTATTGCCATTTCATGAAATGCAGCACACATATAATTAGAGTTCAGTACAGTTAGTGACACTCACATGCATTTGCAGAAAAGAACAAGATACACCTTCAGCGATTTTAGATCACCAGACAAACATAAACTGCACAAATTCCAACCTTTTCGGTGGTTTGTTAACAATAACTGCTTTATAGATCAGTAATAAATCACAGTTCTAGATTATTTAGAATATTTTTGACTCAGTGATACAGCATTCAATTATTAACACCTCATTTAAAATTTATATTAATGGTTTCTTCTTCTTCTTTTGCATGCTCCACGATGGATCATCTGCCTCATTCTCACACTATCCCTAAATCCTCCTCTGTCACATCAGCCATCTGCATGTCCTCTGTCACCACAGCCATGAACCTTCTCTGTGATCTTCCTCTTTTTCCTCCAGCCTCGCAGCTCCATTTTTAAAATATATCTATTATCCCTCCTCTGCAAGTCCTCTCATCCTTGTCTCTCTGACTTTGTCTCCAAACCTACCATCAGCTATCATCTTGTAAACCTTCCCTTTCACTCATGCTGCTTTTGTCACAAATCACCCCTGACACTCATCTCCACCCAGTCCACCCTGCCTGCACTCTCTTCTGCACTTCTCTTCTTCACTGTCCGTTGCTTTGGATTTTTGACTCAGTGTAGTTAAACTCATCCACCTTCACTACCTCTGCTCCTTGCAGCTTCACTATTATTAATTAAAATCGTTCATAAATATTATGTCAGTGGAAATCAACAGCCCTCTCAAGGGTAAGACGAAAGAGAACAGACAAAGAAGATCATCGAGAGACAAGGACAAAACACAATGGCAGAGAGAAGAAAAAAGTTAATGCCATGCTGGAGTGGTATGTAAATGCAGCTGTAGCATAAAGCCATAAGAGGAGAAGAAATGCTCATTGCATCTTAGCAAGTCCCCCAGCAATATTGCATCATAATCAAGACATGGTTCGGGGTCACCTGATCTAGTCCTACCTATAAGCTTAAAAGAAAAAAGGAGTTTTAACCCAAGAGTAAAGAGGGTATCTGTCTCCTCAAACTGGGAGCTGAGTCCACAGGGGAGATTGCTAGCTGAAGGTTTTGCCTATTATTCTCCTTTTAGAAACTATATACATCAAAATATCACCAAAAATTAAGCGAAAAAAAAAAAACATCAGTCAAAGGAATCTTCAGAACCAACTGATCCATTAGGTACCTTTATTAAATAAATAATAACAAAAGCTTTGTTTATCTTGCATCTTTAAAACACACAAAGAGACAGCAGTTTAAATGTGAAATCAGGACGTACGATGCTAAACATGTAAGATAAGGTTATAATAGAAGGATGAGACGCGTGCACGCGCACATTATTACATTACTAAGCAGGATGACACTAATTAAAAGGATGTGCCCGAGGGCCGCGTGTGGTAAAAAGTGTTGGGGAGCGATAAAGGAGAGGCTTTTGTAACTAACATAGCAACAGTGCTGCATGACCACCGGTGCTCCGTGTCCGTGACAGCTGGGTCCATTTGAACTGACAGCCCGGCTTCGGCTCTCCATTGGTGGAAGAAGTCATCCATCCCGGGAACGGGCCCGCCCCTTGTCCCCGACGCGGCACAGGAAAAAAGCCTTTGAAGTCGCGAGGGCGGTGCCGAGCAAATTATGCCATGTGGTGCTCGAGAGCGGGGTTTTCATTGGACGGCGGTGAAATGGTCGCCGCCCATTTTTGTAGGATACCCTCTCTGATTGGCTCAATCGGCCACCCCAGATTCGCCGTGCGCGCGTTCACGGTTTTCCTATTCTCCCTCGCGAGTTACGTCAGCAGCGTGAACGTCTTTCCGTGACGCCGGAGCAATCCCTCGAACAATTTGCGGAAACGGCGTACCTACCATGCGCAGCGACAAAGACTGCGAGCCTGAAACCTATGGGGAAGGAATAAAAAAAGAAATTTCGTATCGTCGCACTCTGTGCTTAAAGACCAGTATTTTCTGAGGAGCTCGCCGGCCTGGGGTCTCGGTAAAGACACCGAAATTTAACCGAGGCAAGGCTGGATTTAGAGTCGGCGTACGGCTAGTGAATTCGCTGAAGAAGACTGTAGCAGCTGGCAGATTTTCCGTTGGACCGTCTGTAGGCTAGGGTAGCGAGGGAGCCGCCATGGCAGTCGGATCATTGAGCCTCCACATCGGGATATGAAGTGGAACTGCATGTGTCCCGAATCGTTAAGAAAACGCCGCATTTGTCACCGATCCGCACCGGATCAGCATCTGAACTAACCCTTCTTCATCTCCGTGAAATCGATTCCGCACCCCGAAAGAAATTACCGCTGGTTTTTAACCGTGGGGCGAGGGAGGGAGAGGCCAGATTCATGACTATTTTAGTCGGATACGTGTCTTCAAAGGCCCGCTGAAAGAAATCCTGGAGCACAAGGAGGAAACGATGCTCTGATAGACCGTCGGTGGAAAAGAAAAGGGTCATTTAGTGGCGATACGAAGTAGTGTGAAGGATTCCTGGGATAAGGGGATCTCTTTCTAGCTGACCTCCCCGTGAATTACAGTGATATTAATTTACTGTCATCCCCCCCTCCTTTTTGGAATTTTTTTTTTATTATTTTTTATTTTTGATGAGAAGGTTCGGCGAATCGATCAGCTCCGCCGTTTAAGCAAGTCACAGTCGAGAGAATCAAGGGGATCGTCGGATCATGTCGGGTCGGCCCAGGACCACATCTTTCGCCGAGAGCTGCAAGCCAGTGCCGCAGCCTTCAGCTTTCGGCAGCATGAAAGTCAGCAGTAAGTACACCCGTGTAATTCTAGAGTGGCAGACTTTTCCTGCACGCACCAGGCCCACCGTGGGCTGCATATGCTCGCTTAAGTGTCCTCTCACTAACTAGACTGGAAATGTGTCAAGTTAGCATACGGTTAGCTCCGGGAAGCTTATCTCTGTCATATATGTGTGTCACAGAGCGAGACAGTGGATGGTGCTGAGCGGCACACACTGCTGCTCGCCCCGATGTTGGCACACAGCGTTACGCGCTCTGTCGCGCCGCCCCGGGGCCGGTCAGCCGGAGCAGGGTTAGCAGGCCGCGCCGGGAAGGGCCGGGCCAGGCCATAGGAAGGTAGTGTTGGCACAGGCCCAGGTCAAAACCAAGCCTCCTTCTTCCACCGCAGATCCGGCCTGATTATTGTCCATTTGAATGTAGATTAGATCGCGTAGAGATATTGCCACACAGCACCAATCACATGCGTAATGAAGTTAAAGCGATAGGTCCGGTCTATTACGCAACTGTCAGAACGGAAGGTGCGCCCGTAGTTGAGTCGGGCAAAACTGACGCGATCCTACGGGGGGTGGTTTATTAGCCCTGTTTCCACTACTTCCACGGGCCGTGTCGCGACGACCGGAGGGAGTGTGACATCGAGTATCCTGTTCATGAAGCCACGGTGGCACGGTGCCGGAGACCGCTTATAGACTGGCTGCAGAGAGGAAGCCATGCGACTGACTAGGCCTGTCAGCTGAGCAAGTGGCGGGGTGGGGGGCTGGCAAAGTGGGTGCTAGACGCCTCTCTTTCGTCTAGTCTATCCATCACCACGACGATCTCAAGGCAAGGCGCACTCGCTCCCATGCTGAATATACTACTGCTGTGTTGGTTATATTTAATGGCCCAGTTAGAGCTCAGTCAGTTTAAATAACATCAAATTAACACTTTACATATCTAAAAGTCTTTTCATTGAAATTAATTTATAAGTATAGCATCTTTATTATTAATGAGTATCGACTGTCATAGATGGACACTTGCACAGTTCCTAGTTACACCCCTGTCTTATCTGACACACAGATGGGTGGGGTGGAGTGGAGTGGGGTGTGAGGGCACGTACCTGTTAAGGAATGCTGATGGAGCCTTAAGGCTGTGATGTGAGCATGATGTATCTCAGGCGGGTGAGGCCTGAGCTCAGGCTCATGTCTGGGCCTTGGTGCTGGAAACCGATTAGTGCACTGTGACACACACACACACACACACTCTCCAAACCCAAGCCTAATTCTTGTCTCGCCCCAGGTGCATGTATGGGTCAGGTCTGCTAAATGTGAGAATTAATTTTTTCAGACAAAAGTTTTGGATCCTCAACTTGATTTCTTTTTCTCTCATAGAGACTCATCTGGTGACTCAGTACTTTTTTTATCAACTAAAATAATAAGCTGAACCTCTAGTTGCTCAATTAAATAGGTGTTTGATAATCTGATGTCTAACAGCAGGTGGTGTTCATCTCCATGGAGGAAAGTAGAGTGGCTGATTGCTCAGATGTCCCCTGTTGTAAAATTTTTCAGTATTTTGTCTAGTGTCAGTTATATCGTTATCGCAAATTTTCAGATGTATAACGTGATAAATATTTTTGGTCATATCGCCCTGC